CAATGATGTGGGAACGCAGGACGCTACTCAATACGCTCTGTTCATTCATAAAGTTAATTTATTACTCTGATTAATGCGTACCTACAATAATCATTATTTAATTTATTTGTTAACATTGTAATTTTAATGTAATCAAACCATGCTTGGGTTTTGAATTGGATTAGGTGTAAACTAAGATATCTGGTAGTTCCATATCCATTCTATTGTCAAAGTATTTACTAGAATTCAAGATCCAAGATTTGTATACATAATTTTATTTATAATATCCAATGTTTATATGGATGTGTGTAACTCTTGACTAGAGTAAATAAAAGAAGTAATTAATGTAAAAGAAGAATTGTCACAACTTAGTTTTATTTGGTATATAAACATGTAGACAGATCATAGATAACAAAAGATAGATAGATAACGTTAATAAATAGTAAATTTACTGTTCATAACAGCTAATAAATTGCAAAAAAAACAGATCAAACACATATTAAGTAATTCAGCGTGGCACGTTATAAATGTTCTTAATATCTATGCGATAATTACAAAAGACGTATTAAATGTTTATAAAATAACAATTTCCAAAAACAAAACAATACCTAGAGTTGTGGCAATCAATTGCCATTTATGCCGCTTCGAATTCAGTCTTCCAAGTTCGTCTGTTTCCCAAAATAGCTTTCCCTGTAATAAAATAACATGGTTTCGTAATTTTTTCTTATCTGCAGAAATAGTTGCGGATTGCATGTTTTTAATGATCGTCTAATTAATTGACTTTAGGCATACCCTACACAAACGTCTTTTGAGCTTCGTCGTCTTGCGACCAGTGCCCCGATTGCGCTAATTTTTAACGTCTCCAATACATTGGCGTTTCTTCACCAGTTGCGTATATTGCGGTAAAGTTCACGCGCAAACAAAGACGAAACAACGGATTAATCATTTTCCAATAAAAGTCCGAACACCTTATTTTTTCACTAAAAACAGCAAAATTAAATGTTCGTGAATGCGTTTGACTTAAGTTTGAGAAAAAGCTGTAGAAAAAGTAGCTTTCTTTCAGCTTTTACACAAAGAAGCAGTTTCGTTTTGTTTTCGTTTGAACTAGCTGTCAAAGCGACACCGCGATACGAATTTGTGATTTTCTTTCGTCGTCTAGTCGCGTTGTAGAATGGAATAGGTAATTGCAGTTGAAAATATTTAGCGCAATCGGGGCCCAGCGCTGGATCTCCTAATGCCTAGGCCTATAAGGCCGGGCCTAGGGTCGTCAACGCTGCGCGGGCGCTGGCGAGACGACGTTCGAAAAACGCTAGTGTGAGGGATGCCTGGGTCTTATCAGCAAGACATAGAGCAAGCACTTCGTCGTTTCAGCCGAAAGACGTCCACTGCTGGACAAAGGCCTCCCCCAAGGATTTCCACAAAGACCGGTCCTGCGCCGCTTGCATCCAGGTACTTCCCGCGACCTTCACCAGATCGTCGGTCCACCTAGTGGGAGGCCTGCCCACGCTACGTCTTCCAGCTCGTGGTCGCCACTCAAGAACTTTCCTGCCCCAGCGGCCATCAGCTCTTCGAGCTATGTGCCCCGCCCACTGCCACTTGATTTTAACGATTCTGCGGGCTATGTCAGTCACTCTGGTTCTCCTACGGATCTCCTCATTTCTGATTCGATCACGCAGGGAAACTCCGAGCATAGCACGCTCCATCGCTCTTTGGGTGACCTTGAGCCTTCTTATGAGGCCCATAGTAAGCGACCACGTCTCAGAGCCATACACCATCACTGGCAACACACACTGGTCAAACACTTTTGACTTGAGACACTGCGGTATTTCGGACGTGAGAATTTCGCGAAGCTTCCCGAACGCTGCCCATGAGCAAGCACTTAATAGAAGAATACTCACAGTCTCGCCCATATCCTATGCGTGGTGAAGGCATCATGATCCCTCAGTACTAACATCGCTCGCTGGCAGCTTAGCGCGGTGGCTTCGTCGCGCACGCAGTCTCGCGTGTGGCTCAGCCATTCCAGCATCTATGGACATCATGAAATTTAAGGACGAAGCACATTTATCAACCTGGAAACGGATCGTAACCGTATCAACCCGAGGGGGTCAGTATTCTTTGTGTAAAATTCTTTGTGTCACACGAAAGGCGATACGGTGTTGATCCTTTCTGGGTTGATAAGTGTGTTATGACCTTTAGTGTGAAAGAAGATGGAGGTGACACTTTAATTAACGCTCAAGAAAAATCAAGATATAGGTCTTAACATTGATATTCAACCTGTGACCTTTCAATCGGAAAAGAAGTTTACTAAAATTCAGTTGTGACGTCATGGTACATCATCATAAGTTGGAGTTGTTCGACTAAGTTCTATGGCTGTTCAGTGCAGCTAAAACAGTCAACAGCACATGCTATAAATTTTTGTGACATAATACCATTGATTAAGATTCCACAGTAGGTAAATGTATTTGCTGTCACCTTATCCCACTTTAACTAACCTGTACGGTACTATCGTGCCACGCTTCCCTGCTCATTAAAGCGGCTGCAGCGCAGGGCAGCAGCGCTCTTAGCACTGGACGACTGGTCAGAGGCTCTCGCGCCAGCGCTGCACAGCCGCTGAATACCACCGCGCTTAGTATATCATCTACTTCGACCAACCTGTACAGTGCTGTCCTGCCAGGCTTCCCTGCTCATCAAAGCAGCTGCAGCGCAGGGCAGCAGCGCTCTTAGCACTGGACGACTGGTCAGAGGCTCGCGCGCCAGCGCTGCACAGCCGCTGAATACCACTGCGCTTAGTATATCATCTACTTCGACCAACCTGTACAGTGCTGTCCTGCCACGCTTCCCTACTCATCAAAGCGGCTGCAGCGCACGGCAGCAGCGCTCTCAGCACTGGACGACTGGTCAGCGGCTCTCGCGCCAGCGCTGCACAGCCGCTGAATACCACTGCGCTTAGTATATCATCTACTTCGACCAACCTGTACGGTACTATCGTGCCACGCTTCCCTGCTCATCAAAGCGGCTGCAGCGCACGGCAGCAGCGCTCTCAGCGCTGGACGGCTGGTCAGCGGCTGCCTCGCCAGCGCTGCACAGCCGCTGAATACCACCGCGCTTAGTATGAACACGTCGCAGAGGTATAGATGCGCTGATAGCTCCTCGGTTCTGTAATAAAGACCTACTATTACAGATAGCCCGTAGATTTGTCAAAGTTAAATGGAAGTGGGCGGAGCACATAACTCGTAGAAATGATGGCTGTCTGACCAGAAAAGTTCTCGATTGGCGATCACAAACTGAAAAACATAATTATGTAGGCAGGGCTTTTTTTTTTTTAAATATCCTTGGACATTTTACACTGCGCTTCTAGTCCGAAACTAAGCAAAGCTTGTACTATGGGTACTAGACAACGGATATAAACATACTTAAATACTTTTTTTTTAAATACATACATATTATACATAGAAAACACCCAGTCCAATACAAACAAATATGTTCATGCAATAAAGGTCGCGGGAAGAGCCTGGATGCGGGCAGCGCAGGACCGTTCATTGTGGAAAACCTTGGGGGAGGCCTTTGTCCAGCAGTGGACGTCATTTGGCTGAAACGAACGAACGATGTTCATGCACACAAAATTGTCTAGGTAAACCGATGAACAAAGACGTCTTGATTGGCAACCACGGACCGCCGATCGATCTGGCCAGGTCGCACAAAGCATCTGGATGCAGGCAGCGCTGCATCAGTCATACAAGGATACAGGACTATTCCCACCTCTCGTTCCCACCACTGCAACTCTTGTGTAGCCAGGATCTACAGCTTGACCGCCAATAAAAACCGTAAAACTATGTTTGAATTATTTTTGTTTCTTCAAGTGAAAATGATACAAGGATGTCAACAAAAACCTTTATCCTTTGTTATAAACGACCAATTAAGTAAATCCTGATCCATACTCACTCTTTGAAAGCAACTTGTGTTCTGGCCATGAGTTGCAGGAACCACTCCTTAGTATTCGGGTCGTCCGGCTTGACGGCTTTCAGTGGCGCTAAAATGCATTGCAGGGAGAACTGTTGGTCACTGAAAACAAAAACAAATCATTGCAATAAACATTTTTTAAAATTAATTCATTACAACTCGGTCGCTTTAACTGCACACCTGGCAGCCATGACGTCACACCCTGAACGCGGGAAGGTATGCAGGTGAGTGCGCAGGAGGGTCACATTCAACAAAATCTACTATATAAAAATAAGTCGGGTTTTCCTCCCTGACGCTATAACTCCAGAAAGCACGAACCGATTTCCACGGTTTTGCATTCGTTGGAAAGGTCTCGGGCTCCGTGAGGTTTATAGCAAAGAAATGTAGTCCACGCGCGCGAAGCCGCGGGCGGAAAGCTAGTTGTCTATAAAAATGTTGAACGTTGACATGTTTTTGTTGATTGTTTTTTTTATCCACAACGAGGTAGCTCTTGGCCTGTATCTCACTTGATGGTAAGTGACGATCAGGCCGGAGGTGGAAGCGAGCTTCACAAGGAATCCTCAACTACGGAGGAAGAAAAACACGCGCTGGAGACCCGGCTTTACACGACTTTTGTCATACGATATTATCAGGTAAGCTGTTTTACTCACGTGATGTGCCCAGCCTGCGCGTCAATAATCTCATTGAGCCAGCAATTTTGTTAAATGTTGATATGTTTTTGTTGATTGTGTAGGGCTTTACCTGACTCTTTTCATACGATGTTATCTACTCACGCGATATGACCGGCCTGTGCGTCAATAATCTCATTGAGTCAGCAATTTGTTGAATGTTGATATGTTTTTGATTGTGTAGGGCTTCACACGACTTTTGTCATAAGATATTATCAGGAACGCCCTACTTTACACGACTTATCATAAGATATTATTATCAGGTGAGCTGTTCTACTCACGCGATGTGGCTGACCTGTGCGTCAATAATCTCACTGAGCCAGCAATTTTGTTGAATGTTGACATGTTTTTGTTGATTGTGTAGCTTCACACGACTTTTGTCATACGATGTTATCTACTCACGCGATGTGCCCGGCCTGCGCGTCAATAATCTCACTGAGCCAGCAATTTTGTTGAATGTTGACATGTTTTTGTTGATTGTGTAGGGCTTTACCTGACTCTTTTCATACGATGTTATCTACTCACGCAATATGCCCGGCCTGCGCGTCAATGATCTCATTGAGCCAGCAATTTTGTTGAATGTTGACATGTTTTTGTTGATTGTGTAGGGCTTTACACGACTTTTGTCATAAGATATTATCAGGGGCGCTGCTTTCTACTCACGCGATGTGTCCGGCCTGCGCGTCAATGATCTCATTTAACCAATTCAGCGGCGCCTCCGCCCCCGCCGTAACGGCCGCGACCGCCACCGCAGCCCTGACGTCGGCCGCTTTACGCAGCGCCTCGCCCGTCACCTCCCACCAGGAGGACGGTGACGTCATCCGCTCGAGGTACTTGCTGGATAGGTGACGGCAGGTCTGCACGTAGGCTGGCCACGACTGGGAGATCAGATTAAGATATACATTAAGTAATATGTAAAAAATCTGTACAATTCTAGTGATGAAATAAAATTATCGTCGGGACTAATATCGCAATCACTTTTCTATACTAAATCGACCGATCAACAAAACTGATCAGGTGTTCAAATTTTTAGTCGACATGATTAAACTATGTTGCTAAAACGTGTAATAGACATAAAGAACATGTGAATTCGCTATTGCTGTAATAAAACGGCGCGGGATGGTGTTTTAATAACGTCAAAAGTCAGCAACACATCATATCATTTGTGCTCAAGAAACATGTGCTTCAGACATGTACGAGTATACTGTGACAACTATTTTACTTCACATGGCACCCATCTTGCACCGCTCTACAAGAAATCAATTCTAACTTTAACCACTATGCCTGTAGTAGAAACTTAATACTCACCACGTGATCATCCGATATAATAGTGAAGTAGTTCTCAATTATTTGCGACAGCAGAGTCCTGTTAAAAAAGTGAGAATGATAAAAGTATATTCCGTTATCAAATAAATAGGGGTGGACTCATTATTTTAAGTGCTATGGCACTAAGTGTACGCACAGTAGGCGACACATGACAGCAAAACAGCTCGGCGACTAGACGCTTATTTTAAACAATTTCGTAAATTAGTTTGTCGTCGCTCCGCGACTCTGACGCCAAGTGTGCGAAGCTTGCACCTAGTCGCCGACCTGTCGCTGTCAGTGTCATCTAGTGTGCCTACAATAAAGTAAAGATGGACTCTTTTAAGTGCTACAGCACCTGTTAGCGTCGTGTATCCTCTCGCACTCCAAGCTAGCGCGGATTCCCTCCAGCTGTATGGTAAGCAAGGGCGGCTGGCCAGCCTCTGTAGGGCGGGCGGAATCTGTAGGGCGGGCGGATAATATAAGATAAATTTATTGAATAAAAACTTAGCCTAAATACAAGAAACCTAAATGGGACTATGAAATTATTTGGTTAGTAACAATATGTTAATTAAGGTAGTATACCTAAACTAAGCAAAAATGTTTGCCTGTGTTTTAGGTATCCATACTTATTATGTAAGTTAGTGCTTAATAAACAGATATTATAAATAATTACACCAAAACAATGTTGATAAAGGTAAAGGTTGACAATTTTGTTACATAAATAAATTTTTGCTGACAGAATGTTTATTTATAGCTAGCATACCGTAGCATAGCGTAGGGCGGGCGGAATCAGTAGGGCGGACGTCGGTAGGGCGGGCGGCGGCGGCCAGGCAGCGCTCTAAAGCTGGGCGGAGCGTGTTGGGCGGGACGCCGCGGCAGAGGATCGGGAGCAGAGAAAACATTAGCAGGATCTCCGACTCCTGGAAGAGATGTTTTGGGATATGATCACGTGCGTCAAATATTGGATGCTTGCTATCTGGTATACGGTATCAAACAGAGAACGGGCAGCAGCGCTCTCTGAAAACTGAAATCTTTTAAACTGCGATCTCCAACCCGCCTGCCAAGCGTGGGGATTATAGCAAACCCCTCCACTATAGTGGAGGAGGCTCATGGTCCAGCAGTGGACTGTAAAGGGCTGTTGATGATGATGATATGGTATGAAATTACTATTTGGGAGACGAATTTAAATTTAAAGAAAACTAGCAGTTTTTTTGTTTCAAACTTTCATGGTCACTTATTCCTAACGGGATTGCTAACATGTATATGGTAGCAGTAGCAGACGACGGCACGTCAAGGTAAACACTGTGGGGTCTTACGCAGTTGTAATAGAAGCCAATTTACAACAAAAATGGGTAGTCTGATATGCTATCGTCTGTACCTTAATTTTTAGTTTCCGATATTTCGGCACTCAAACTCAAAATTAAGGTACATGGTAGCAATCCCGTCAGTAATAATAATTAAAGTATATTTGATCTAAACTGCCTCATCTATTATATTTATTGCATATGTGCTGTTTGTTTTCCATGATATAAATAAATAAGGAACTTAAATGATCCTCCTGATCGTCACACTGAGAAATACTGACAATAAAATAATATGTTTTACCTCGCTGTGATCCGGGTCGATGCTCTGCAGCCAATTGTCGGCCAGGCGGCGCGCGGAGCCCACGGATTGTGCTTGTCTGGCAGCCAGCTTCAGTCCACCACTGCGCCATTGGCTACCTGAGGGCATTCAAAGAAACATTTGTAGATCATTAGTAGGTATATGTGCCATTCAGGGAATTTGTATATGTTCCAAAACGGCGGATGGCGGAAAAAAATTCGGAGTCGGCTTTGTAAGCCTAAAGCAGTGATGGCCAAGATGGCCGGTCGACCGCGAAGACGATTTTGGTAGCCCGCGAGAGTTAAATAAACCGAACTTATTTTAAAATGTACTTATTCGCGCCAATAACACTGACTATACAGGGTGTTAGGTAAATGGGTATATGAGCTGACACTAGCCCATGTTAACATGGGCATATAAATGGTATGGTGAAGTCAGAAATTTGATATTATCATTTTAATTTATAAAATTTTCATACAAAATATTTTTTATAAAATCCGATTTGTATGAAAATTAAAATAATTAAAATTAAGATATCAATTTTCTGACTTCACCATACCATTTATATGACCATGTTAACATGGGCTAATGTCGGCTCATATACCCATTTACCTAACACCCTGTATATCTACCTATAAATATAGGTACTCACACGCTTCGGTCGGTTGTAACGTGGTACCGAGTATTGTTGCTGCTAAAATGTTTTATTTCACTCTTTTAAACTCTACCTTGCAGTCGATCGCAAGAAATATTTTCGAGCATACGTAGACCTCACAGGTCAAAAGTTTGGCCACCGCGGGCCTAAAGCAAGCACACTTATCCGCACCGTAACGTAAACGCCTCACCTCGTGGTTGACAGCGCGGCGAAAGACGATACGGTATTGACCCTTTTCCGCGTTGATAAGTGTGCTATGATCTTTATTTGGAACGGGAAATACAGTTTACAAGACAATTGTAATATTACAAGTTGGGTTTGGTATTAATCCTGTAAATGCACACTTATCAGATAAAGCCCATTCAATCTTGACATATTTAGTACTCAAATCTTTATAGTATCTTAAAAGGTTATTCAACCGCGAATATAACGAGTAAAATCGCAGTATTTTTTCTCTATAAATTACTTTACCTTTGTGCAAAGCTTCGTGAACAAAACAGAGGTCCACGGGAGGCAGAGGGCGAATATACTCCGCCGTGAGCGTGCGAAGGATTGCCAGGAGCACCGCGTCGGGGTAGTCATACGACGGTGACGTCACCTGCAAAAGGAACCGTCTGGTTACCTTGCCAAAGCTTGACACGTGACTAAGACATTAGCCAAATCGTGGTTTCCAATACCCTAAAAATATGCCTAAAATGGTAGCGCGTGGTCATTATCATATGAAAAAAAAAAACATACTACTGCCTTTTTCGTACGATATCTTAGAATAGAAATCGGAAGCTACAAGCGAGAAGAGGAGAGAGTGAAAAAAAGGTCCCCTACACATCCTATGGGTACGGAACCCTAAAAATGCTCCTATTGGCGATGTATCTACTTTTCTGTTGATCATTCTAGGCAGGCGCTATTGAAAACATAGGTACCTACCTGTTTCTTGAAGCAGCAGGTAGCTCATGTTATAGGGTTCCGTGCATGAAAGGCGCCGCTACGGAACCCTCACAAATGTGTCCACCACACCTAGCACACTCGCTACCTACCTGTTTCTTGAAGCAGTCCATGAGTCCCCTCAGCACGCTGATGTTAGGCAGGTAGCGCATAATATGGGGTTCCGTACGCGCGTCGGGCTGGCAGGCGCCGCTACGGAACCCTCGCAGATATGGTCTCCCTAAACCTAGCATACTCCTCACGTACCTGCTTCTTGAAGCAGTCCATGAGTCCCCTCAACACGCTGGTGTTAGGCAGGTAGCTCATATTATGGGGTTCCGTGCGCGCGTCGGGCTAGTAGGCGCCGCTACGGAACCCTCTCTGATATGGTCCCCCTACATCTGGCGTACTCCTCACCCTTGCTTCTTGAAGCAGTCCATGTTATAGATACATGATAGTCGCCGCTACGGAACCCTCTCAGATATTGTCTCACTACACTAGAACACTCTGTCTTACCTGCTTCTTGAAGCAGTCCATGAGTCCCCTCAACACGCTAGTATTCGGCAGGTAGCTCATATTATGGGGTTCCGTGCGCGCGTCGGGCTGGTAGGCGCCGCTACGGAACCCTCGAACCTCGCGCGCTACCAGCGCCGTGCAGAGACGATCCACCCCGCTTAAGGCTTCTTGGTTCGTGTATTTGAAGACCTCTGGCCACACCTCACCTGAAAGTTAAGCGAACTGATTAATTAAATCAAATCAAATCAAATTAGTTTATTGCAATTGTTGGTACATATCATGCATTGATGGATCTTTTTAAACGTAAAATTGTTCAGCTACAATTTGCCAAGCAGATGGCGTGCAATATACATATAAATGGTTACTTAATACTAATTAACTAATTTACTTAAAACCTGTTCATTTTATAATTTTACATGCAAACATTTAATTTTTATGATAAGAATAAGAAAAACTTTATTTGACACAAAAAGAAAATAAAAAACAGAACAAAGGGACTTAAAACTACACACGCATATTTTTGTGCCAAAAAGGCGCCCGCTCAGCATTAATTACGGAAAAAATCTCTCAATCATCAATCAAATCAAATCAGAACACTGTTGTAAAATCTTAACGCTGTCATTTTTAACAAACTGATAAATATTTTTAATCTTGACAAATTAACACATTTTTGTTGATATGAGGGCTTGATATTCTAAATGCGCTTACTAGAGAGCGCGACTGTTGTATAAGGCTGTCTCTCTAGTGGATTTGACAGTGGATACCCAGTGGAGACCCATTGACAACTTTTGGAAGCAATTTCGCCAAATTCAACTAAGGGTTAATTTAGTGATTCTGATGAAATGTCCACAAGGTGGACCGACGACCTGATAAATGTAGCAGGAAGGCGCTGGATGCAGGCCGCTACCACTCGTGCGATGTGGAAGTCATTGGGGGAGGAGGCCTATGTTCAGCAGTGGACGTCCTGTGGCTGAAATGATGATGATGATGATGATGAAATGTAAACTTTATTTCAGTACTTACAAGGTATGTAGTCGAGCACATCCTCAGGTTTGCGCGCCGCGTCGGCCGGCGTCTTGCAGTACGAAGCTGGTAACTTCACCGTACTCCTGTTGGAGATAACACAATTTAAATGGTACACACGTGTAAGGAACTGATATGTTAGTTATTCGCATGTCATTATGATCTTCTCTAATCTACCAATGACAGATTAAGTTTCCCCCGGGACAATCTTGACCTTCACTGGTTGGGTTTTTATTAGCGGTTAAGCTGTATATCCTGGATACACAGGAGTTGCAGCGATGGGAACGAGGTGGGAATAGTCCCGTTCTCTAATCTACTAGAGGCAATTTAAAATTTGGCCTAGACTTACCAAGCTGGTTAGACGGGTAGGGGAAAGAGGGGAAACTCACCTGTATATCTCAGGAATGTCCTTCAGCTTAAAGTCTTCCACGTTGTAGTTAGCCAGCGCGTCACAAGCCGCTTCCACCACAGCAGGTTGATGGGAATCCGCCATGTAACTCCAAAGTTTGCGAGCCGCGTCCGATACGAGGCGGTCGTACTCGGGCGTCAATATTAAGCTATACCATTGATGGTATAGTCACTATATGTCGGTACTATTGCCGTATACTAATAGTATTGACGCAAACCACGCTATCGATGGAGTAGCTGATTTTCGATGCCAACAAATGACATGCAAAAAAACAAATAACGGGCTCAGCTGCCCTGAGCGAGTGTAGGAGTGATCGCCCGTTGCACTAGCTGTAGTCCAGCGAGAGAAGTATCAAAACGGCCGTTTGGTGTAGTGGTTCAGAACGGACTACTATGCCGAGAGGTCCCGGGTGCGATTCCATGCCGAGCAGAAATTGAAAATGATGAATTTTAATTTCTGTGATGGGTCTGGGTGTGACTATGTTTAATATGTATTTAAAAAAATATATATATAAGTAGTATATCCGTTAAGCTAGCACCCATAACACAAACATTAAGTTGCTTACTTTGGGGCTAGCTGGCGCTGTGTGAAATTGTCCAAAGCTCGCTTCTCGCTACCTTTACTCGCTTCTCACTCATCGTCAGTGGTGGAACAAATGACAAGTGTCATCTAACTCACCTGTATATCTCAGGAATGTCCTTCAGCTTAAAGTCTTCCACGTTATAGTTAGCCAGCGCGTCACAAGCCGCTTCCACCACAGCAGGTTGATGGGAATCCGCCATGTAGCTCCACAGTTTGCGAGCCGCGTCCGATACGAGGCGGTCGTATTCCGGCGTATCCACGCGGAGGGTAGGCACTTCTGAGAGTAGCTTGCATATGCTGGAACATAAATATCAAGCACTTCTTTAAACTAGTTTAAAGTTCTTACAAATCGTCAAATCCTACTCGTAAGGGGCCTTTATGGGTTAGGTATTATCTGGCCCACCGAAAATCTGGTCCGCGGACCAGTTAATAACTTTTTTAAATACTAGTCTTCATCTCGTCCGAAGGTCCGGGCCAGATAATACCTGTAAAATCACTAGGTAGTCCAGTCATTTCGTCCGAAAAAAAGGCAAATAAAAGAAAATGAATTTGCGCTTCTAATTTTTTAATATGTTGTAGGGGATACCTAGAAAAGCTTAACTTGAGATTGTCGACCAAGCTTTCCTAGGAGCTTTCGCCGCCATCTTGGAAAACGCTTAAAATTTGTTTTTCGGCAATAACTCGGCTATCCGATGAGATTCGAAAATTTTTGTATGACACTTTTTGTAGCTTTCTTTGTGCTCTACAATAACGCCCGAACCATTTTTAGCGTATCATGCATCGTTATCGAGATATCGATCGATAAAGTAAAAAATTTTGGACACAATTTTTGTTTTTTGCTTTTTTTTTCTTTGGGTCTTAATAAATATGAAAAATTCCGAAATAATTAAATAATTAATTAAAAAGTAAAAAGTGTTAGAGGCCGGTCGATCTATTCTCATAAATAAAACACTGGATACTCATCTTTCACATTATATTGCCTTATTTTAAATACAATTCATCACTTAGCACAAAAGCGCGCGGAGTCATCTCCGCGCGTCCCTCTATTCTGACGTTTGATTCTCGTGTGACATTGAAATACGTCAATGTCACTATGACAGCAGCTCATTGGCTATAACGATACCGCTATTTTAACGTTTTATATTTTTCACAATTAACACCCCATAAGGGCTACCTTTTTCTTTTTTTATTATTTTCTATTGACGTTCATAAGTGCCACTTGTGGTCTAAACTGAATAAATATTTTTTGATATAGATTTTGATTTTGAGTAATAACACAAAATGGCAAAGGGGGAGCGAAGTGAAAACCACCAATAGTATTACATAAACTCTCCGCTGTTCTTCAGCAGACATGGAGTTGCAAAGTAGTTTCAAAATTCATACAAATCTGAGCTTTTTGTCTCTAGCCATTATTCTTACCTTGTCTGCACCGTAACTTTATTGTCCCTTGCCAGTCCCTTCCAGCTTAGTAGAGGATGAACTTTGTGTCAAATCCATGTTTACCTGATCTGTACGGCAGCTCTATTGTCTCTGGCCAGCTTGGGCCACCGCCAGCGCGCCCAGAATTAACGCCATTGATACGGAGCCGGATTGACTATAATGGCGGGCACCAGTTGTAGGCCAATTCATAACTACTTTCTAGCTTTTGCTGCTCATTCATTGTCAGCAGGGGGATAAGTGACTCCAGAGATTTGTTTCTTTTTGTCTCTGGTCAGCGTTTTCATAACTTTCTTTATCTTACCACCTTTTTCATGACACGACCGTCCTACACGACGTCGTAAACAAACCAAGATGGTGTAAATTGGACCTTGGTCCTCGAGCATAACACCCGCTCGGAAGGAAGCACTAACATCTAGCTTCCTAATTGTGGTTGAGCATCATATCCCACAACTGTCCTACCTGATCTGCACGGTGAGCCTGTTGTCCCTGGCCAGCTTGGGCTCGAGCGCGCGCCACGTGCCCGGGGGAGCCACGGCGGCGCCGCGCCACAGCGCCGCCAGCGCGCCCAGCACCAGCGCCGTCGACGCCGAGCCCGCCTTGTCTGTGCAGCGGTTGAGCACTGACGATATGGTGGAGACAAAGGCCAGGTATCTAGCTCTCGTAGGCCGTTCTTTCTTGGCGGTGGGATAAGTATCTATAGTCCGGTCGCCGAGCATGTATGAATTTCGTCCAATGACCCCAAGCTACCCATCCTTATCGTTCGCGCGTAATTATATTGCTATCGCGCTCGCACGCTCACTGCTGCCGCCCGTAGCACAGTCGCGACAGCAATATAATTACGCGCGAACGATAAGGATGGGTACCTTGAGGTCATTGGACGAAATTCTACGTGCTCGGAGACCGGACTTTACCTGTGAACCCTGTCTTCAAACACACCTGTATATCTCTGGGGTGTCTTTCAGCTTAGTAGAGGATGAACTTTGTGTTAAATCCATGTTTACCTGATTTGCACGGTGAATCTATTGTGGTGGTGGTAACCTTCGGCTCGAGCGCGCCCAAAAGTAACGCCGTCGATACGGAGCCGGATTGACTATAAATCTGTAACTACTGTCTAGCTTTTTCTGCTCCTTCATTGCTGGTGGGATAGGTACCTACAGAGATTTGTTTCTTTTTACCCGACTGCGCTAGAAGGAGGGTTATTACCTGATCTGCACGGTAACCCTGTTGTCCCTGGTCAGCTTGGGCTCGAGCGCGCGCCACGTGCCCGGGGGAGCCACGGCAGCGCCGCACTAGCGCCGTCGATACGGACCTGGACGGTAGCTTGGGGTCATTGGACGAAATTCTACGTGCTCGGCGACCGGACTTTAGTCAGCATTCTCATAACTCTCTTTACCTACCTGATCTGCACGGTAGCCCTGTTGTCCCTGGCCAGCTTGGGCTCGAGCGCGCACCACGTGCTGGGCGGCTTCCAGGACTAACGCGGTCGATATGGAGCCGGATTGACTATAACATATAGCGTGCACCAGTTCCTGGCCAATTCCTTACCACTTTCTAGCTTTTGCTGCTCCTTCTTTGATGAGTACCTACAGAGATTTGTTTCTTTTTACCTGATTTGCACCGTAACTCTGTTGTCCCTGGCCAGCTTGGGCTCGAGCGCGCGCCACGTGCCCGGGGGAGCCACGGCGGCGCCGCGCCACAGCGCCGCCAGCGCGCCCAGCACCAGCGCCGTCGACGCCGAGCCCGCCTTGTCTGTGCAGCGGTTGAGCACTGACGAAATGGTCGGGACTAATTCCAGGCCGTGGGTTGATGGCCTGTGGATTAAAACAATGTCAAACAAGCAGCAAGCAAAATAAAACTAAAAACAATTTTAAAAGGATAAACATGAGATTAAAAAACCCAACACCCTCATGTATAATCAAGTTCATCATCATCATCATTTCAATAAGTCCAAATGGTACAACTATTAAATACCATCCATAGATCTAGGTATCCAAATGGGAGTGGTCGAACCCAATGCGTCTTTCAGTCCATCACGACGCGAGAATCTTTCCCTTGAAGGATTATATCGGTTGAACGAGTTAGGACGTCCACTGCTGAACATAGGCCTCCCTCTAATCAACATTCGACAGTTTTTTTCCCAGGTTCAGAAGGTCAAGGCAGGTATTTGACTGCAATCACACCTGATGGTACATACCTGCCCTGTAAGTGTTTATTCACTCTCATATTTACATGACTCTATCTTAAGGGAGTCCCAAAAACCCAAAAACAATAATGTAAACGCAACGTCTGAATAACTGAAACTTTTTATTTTTAATTTGAAACAAATGACAAAGCCTATATTAATCCCGTACCTGGTCTCACAAATGCGGCTGACGGCAGCAGCCTTGGCCACGTCCATTTCCCATTTCAGCTCATCAGGGCGACCCACCGCCGTCTCCGCTAATAGCTCTTGCAGGTACGGGAAACAGCGCACCTGGCAGATTGATTAACAAGCTAAAGCCTGGTCTGTGAGCACGTCGAATTTTGTCCAATGACCCCAAGCTACCCATCCTTATCACTCGCGCGTAATTGCGAGCGATAAGGATGGGTAGCTTGGGGTCATTGGACAAAATTCTACGTGCTCACAGACCAGACTATAGTTATAATGGCAGTAGCGCGATTAATGGTGGATGTTTACCGAATGCTGAAGATGAAATTGCAGGATATTTTCACAGTAGAATATGCAAAGGTTTATTTAAAAGAAAAACGCAATAAACGGGTTTAGTTTATCCTAATTGAAAACTTTACTCGTACCACAATGGCCACCCATTTGAGGCCGTAACGGTAAAGAACTTGCTACGGTATTGACTAATTTAATTGGTTTAGGGACTTGACATGAACTTGACAAATTGAAATCGTGTTTATTTTATCCACAACGAGGAAGATCTTGACCTGCACCTCACCTGATCAAAAGTGATGATCAGACCGAAGCTAAGGTTGAAGCGATAGTCGTCAGTTAAAAATTAAGGAAGGTTTGAATACTGAGAGTGACATATATAGACTCTTCGTACATACTTTCTGTGCCTAATTATAAAGCGTTATTGGTCAGCACCGACCATATGCACGTTTTCCTTGGTTCTAGCCATAAGTGGCAGCGCTAGGATTTAATTAAAAACACAGTAAACCACTATCATAACCCACCTGTGTCTCAGCAAGGCTCGCGTACAGCGTGATTAGAGTCGATGTAGACACGCCCTTGCCAGTCCTTAACTTGGTTAACACCGCGACTATGCTCGGCACGTTCTCCTTGGTTATAGCCATAAAGGGCAGTTTTTGAGCTAATTAAAAACACAATTAACAAAGTTCATAACCCACCTGTCCGACGACATCATAAAGGTAAAGCCTGGTCCGTGAGCACGTAGAATCCCGTCCAATGACCCCAAGCTACCCATCCCTATCGCTCGCGCGTAATTATGTTGCTGTCATGCTCGCACACTCACTGCAGGCGCCCGTCGCACAGTCGCGACAGCAACATAATTACGCGCGAGCGATAGGGATGGGTAGCTTGGGGTCATTGGACGGGATTCTACGTGCTCACGGACCAGGCTTTAGCAGGAAAGCGCTGGATGCAGGCCGCTACCAACCGGCCATTATGGAAATCATTGGGGAGGCCTATGTTCAGCAATGGAGGGCTTTGGCTGAAATGATGATGAACCCACCTGTGTCTCAACAAGGCTCGCGTACAGCGTGATTAGAGTCGATGTAGACACGCCCTTGCCAGTCCTTAGCTTGGTTAATACCGCGACTATGCTCGGCACGTTTTCTTTAGTTCTGGCCATAAGAGGCAGCGCTTTGAGGCACTCCATGCGGACCAGTGGCGACTTGTCGCGGGCTATCTTGTACGTGAGGATTGGTAAGAGGAGAACCGATAGCTCCTTCTTAATGTCTACAGTGTCCACGACGATGCGCAATGCCCTGAAAAATCACAAAAATAAGAATGTACAGTCACGGAATGAAAAGGTTCGTCAGTTTTCAAATTGATTCCTTCAACGAATCGCGAGCACATATTACCTTTTGAAACTATGTTACAGAATAATCTCGAGTTAGAGAAAATAATCTTTAACTGTTCATCAGTAAAGTTCAAAATTATTCAGATCAAAGTTGTTTGACGATTTATCTTGTCAAGAAGATTAATATGATTGATAAACTAAAACCTTCTTGTTGGTTCAACCTGCCATTATTATTTCTATTAAATAAAAAAAAACTATTGTCAATTGGTCAATGTCATCATCATTGCATTGCACTGATGGGATAGAAAAATAAACAAGCAAAACCTTATTCGTTAGCAAACGTCATATTTTTTTTTTATGTGATAGGAGGCAAACGAGTTAACGAGCAAATTTATTTCAATGTTAGCAGCACTGTTTCTTGCACGGTTATGTTGGCAGGTTTGACTCTTACAGTACCTAGTGCAAGCGAAAACCGACACTAAGGTGACGAACCTTTTCATTCCGCGACTGTACATAGTTATATGAGCAGTTAAAATGTAATTTCTATGTATATTTTCAGATTAAAACACCTTCATATTCAGAACTTGTAATTGTCATTTGTTACCAATAAATGAATGCATGTCTTATCCAAACTGGGAATTTGTTTGTTCCATCTTGGAAATAAACAGTCTATCTCTCTAACCACCTAACAAAGAGGTGCTCATATTTATTAAGAGAAATACCATTAATAAGACATATTAGTTTTATCGGTCGAATTATAAGTCGCTTAACTCAGTCAGTGACTGAGGTATGATGACGGCACGAGAGGGGTAACATTAACATAGTATTACTTAATAGAGCAAACAAATCTAAAGCTTTGAAGTTTCGCTAACATTTGACGTCCCATCAACCGCTCATACCTCAGACACTGACTGAGCTAAGCCTAACCTATAATAACACTTACCTCACGACCACTTCTTCATACCACTTCTCCTCTCTCCTCTCCATAGCAACTGCTATCAGAAACACCACCATCTCCAACTTCATAGCTCCATCCACCCTCTCGATAGCCTCCAGCCAACTCTTCAAGCTATCCTCGCTATCTCTAATCCTCTCCCATATTTCGGTAAGTTTAAACATCGTGTTCAGTCTGCTATCTATATTGTTTAATTCATCGAAAATTTTGTTCGTTCTCAAGTTGGGCATGTCCAGTCGGTCTTCGAAGTCGTTGGATTGGTAGAGGTCAAGTATTTTGGCGCCAACTTTGAGGGCAGAGGAGGTGAGGTAGGAAGGCATGTGAAGCCATTGGAGGGAGAGAGCCACGAATGCGCTGAGGGAAATGCTGGAGCATTTGTATTTGCTCGCTATGTTCAGGCCTGGAAGTAATATGTTTATTCAGTTGGGACTATAGTCTGGTCCGTGAGCACGTAGAATTTTGTCCAATGACCCCACGCTACCCATCCTTATCGCTCGCGCCTAATTATGTTGCTATCGCGCTCGCACACTCACTGCGGGTGCCAGTCGCACAGTCGCGACAGCAATATAATTACGCGCGAGCGATAAGGATGGGTAGCTAGGAGTCATTGGACAAAATTCTACGTGCTCAGTGCTCACGGACCGGGCTTTAGCAACAAGATACTATAAACACATGATCGTTCGTTAGCCCAATAAAGTCCACTGCTGGACAATGGCCTCCCCCAAGGATTTCCATAACGACCGGTCTTAGGTCCACACACTAGGTGGACCGACGATCTGGTGGAAGGTTGCGCTCGGGAAGCGCAGGAACGGACGTTATAAACACGAAGACAAAATAATTTGCTGTAGATATAAGAGTATCTACTGCGTATTAAACATGTTTTCAGCAGAAAAGTTCTTGAGTGGCGACCAGGGATCTGATTCTGAAATCGTAGTATAGGTAGGCCTTCCACTCGGTGGACCAACGATCTGTTGAGGTTCGCGGTATCTGGAATCTAGATACAGGCAGCGCAGGATCAGTCGTTGTAGAAATCTTTAGAGGTGGCCTTTGTCTAGCTAGCAATATTTGGTTGAGACGAAACAACATAAACACAAGTTAAATAGCTCGGCAGGTTGTCTAAAGCCCGGTCTGTAAGCACGTAGAATTTTGTCCAATGACCCCAACCCAAGCTACCCATCCTTATCGCTCGCGCGTAATTATATTGCTGTGGCGACTGTGCGACGGGCGGCCGCAGTGAGTGTGCGAGCGCGACAGCAACATAATTATGCGCGAGCAATAAGGATGGGTAGCTTGGGGTCATTGGACAAAATTCTACGTGCTCGCAGACCAGACTATATCAGCAACATGAGCGTTAGACTGGTCACGTCCCCCAAGTAGGATGTTTGCCTACACTAGGTCTGCAGACTACAACAACGGTTACTTTGGTTCTCATACGGATTTTTCTCGTACTCACACAAGTTGAAGAGCTCGTGTAGATACAGTGCCGAGGTGAGAGGCAGGTTGTCGGCTAGCAGCATGAGCGTCAGACTGGCCACGTTGCGAAGCTCGGCGGCTTCTGTGCCCACGCAGCGCTCCATCAGGCTGTAGCATGGCCGAGGGTCGCGACTGGAAAGGTTTCATTGCTATCTACACTTCTTGGACTGGACTTTATTATATTTCAAAAGGCAAGCACTCTGCACTAAAAACGGAGCGAAAATGGGACTAATCTCACCTTCCGTTTTAACAGTGATGACTTCAGTGATGTTACAGGTTATGTTGTAACTTAATTTAGATCAAGGTAAAAATAATCCTTAGCAGTTAAGAATATTAATGTATTTATTTTTAGTTAAACACTGTTATTGTGATAACCTACTTTTACTGAACATTTATAATGGTGATGAAATAAGAACCTCTAAGGAAGCGTTCTGTAACAACTAACCACAAGCAAATATCGATTTTCTTATCTTCAAAGTTAGCTGCAGCATTAAGCACAACAGATTAGCAAATATTTTTAATTTCTTTTTTGCTAAAACTCAACAGGCCAAAGCTTATTCAGTCGTCATCATCATCGTTACAACCACAGGACGTCCACTGCTATACATAGGCCTCCCCCAACGATTTCCACATCACTTGTTTGCTTCCTGCTACCGCTATAAGGTCGTCGTTTTTTTAAAATGTTTCCTCAACTCACCCATGCTTGATGAGCTCATTGGATATCCTGGCGAGCATCGGCAGCAGCGCCACGACGTACGCGCGGTCGCAGCGGTTGATGGCCGTCGCCGCCACCGCTGCGTACGCGTCGTACGCACGCTCCACAGACAAGGGGCTGCAGATCTAAGGGATAGAACAACTCTTGAATTTGATAAAGCTCATATTTGCTATGTGAGCTGAAACACCTTAAGAACGCTTTCACATTAGAGCGTTAGTAGCGCGGCAGCGGCGTTTTTAGGGTTCCGTAGCCAAATGGCAAAAAACAGAACCCTTATAGATTCGTCATGCCATTGGATAGGTGGGGTATCTTTGGATAGGTCTTCAAAAATGATATCGAGGTTTCTAAAATACTTTTTTTCTAAACCGAATAGTTTGCGTGACAGACGCTTCCAAAGTGGAAAAAAGTTGGTCCCCCCCCCCCCTAACTTCTAAAATAAGAAAATGAAAAATCTAAAAAGAACATATGACGTACATTACTAAAAAAACTACCAACGAAAATTGTTTTGAACGAGATCTAGTAAGTAGTTTTTTTTTAATACCTCGTAAATCGTAAACCGCTTATTACCGCGTAATCTTTCATACAAATAACTTAAATAAAAAATAAAAAATTTAATTTCATAAATCAATGGTACGGAACCCTCGGGCCTCGGTGCGCGAGTCCGACTCGCACTTGGCCGGTTTTTTGTAATGTGAAGGGAGGCGTCAGCTGTCACATAGAATGAAATTTTCGGCAGCGCGTTTGTTGCGCTGCTAAATCGCCTAAATGTGAAAGCGCTCTTAGTGCCAAACTTTATGGGATTGTAAAATGGTTTGATCAGATCAAAAACCTTAGAACTGTAGCACACATACTACAGTCATAAGTGACGCGCGGGCCCGTCACGCGGGCTGTGTTACCCGCTGGCAGCTCAGGCAGCGGCCAGGCGCGCGCCAGGCTGGTGACGTCACGCGGGCTGTGTGTTACCCGCTGGCAGCTCAGGCAGGACAGCAGCGGGCGCGCGCCAGGCTGGTGACGTCACGCGGGCTGTGTGTTACCCGCTGGCAGCTCAGGCAGGACAGCAGCGGGCGCGCGCCAGGCTGGTGACGTCACGCGGGCTGTGTGTTACCCGCTGGCAGCTCAGGCAGGACAGCAGCGGGCGCGCGCCAGGCTGGTGACGTCACGCGGGCTGTGTGTTACCCGCTGGCAGCTCAGGCAGGACAGAAGCAGGCTGAGGTGCGCGCTGGACGGCGGCAGCGCGAGCAGCAGCGGCCAGGCTCGGGCGCCGCGTCCTGGTTGGATGGCCAGCCACAGGAACACGGGACGAAGCAGCTCCAGGCTGTTGGACGACACTCTGTGGACCAAACAAGTAAAACTGTCAACAAATGATCACTGCTTGCACATCACTAAATGTTCCTAGGTGGGAGACAGCCGAATACTGATGGCTAGCCAAGCAGCATAGTCTCTGACCTGAGCTTGTTTATGAAGAAACAAAGTTCTCTTTTTTCTATTCCTAAATTAATAAAAAGAGGACAGTAAAGAGGGTATGTAACCCAGCAAGTTTTGATTTTAACAATAACTAAACTCACATATAATCAGGATGTGTGCACAACGCATGCATCTGAGTCAGGATCTCATCCTCAACTCCTTTGTTCTTTTCCAGTACTGTGATGAATGGGTGCTGCGGAGACTTCAAGGAGAACTGGCACTTGTATGGCTGGCCCGGGACCAGCCGGGACTTCAGGTCCAGGATGAGCAGCCCAGCCATGGTCGAGATTATGGCTGAGTAGTTGCTGTTGAAAATTCCCATATAACTTTTTATCATAAACATTAATGTAAAGGAAGCAATAGTGTACAGGAGGCAGTTATAAGTATTTGCTAGTGTGCCGTAGGTGTAAAGTGCCGACGGTGCACGTTGAGGGTTAATGGATCGCCCGGTGGTCGATGCTGACGGTGCAGCAGGATGTACGATTGTGCTCGTACAAATAGATTGTAATATTCAAAGAGGTTATATACCTCAGTAACTCACCACCAACTTTAAGCCTAACTTAATTGGGGACTATTCTTCTAACAAGGGCTTACCTAGCAGTCGGTAGCAACGTGACAATCGTCGACATCGTGTGGCCAATTTCCAGCACTCCCAGCTCCACCAGCGCCAGCAGCCCTTGACACGCCGTCAGGCTGACCACTGTACCTCTTGCAGAACATTTTGCTCTCAAAAACTTCAGCTCTTCATTCTCCAAAACAAACTTCTTTCGATCGGCCGGTTTAAACTTTGCTTTTATCAAGGATATCAGCTTCTCAACCGCGTTCACCACCAAAACGCTATTGTTGGTGTTAAGCTTATACTCTATTTCATCCATTTATAGTTTGGAACTACACTTTCAGAGTAATTTTCAGTAATTATTGATTTTATTTAGAAATGTGTGAGCACTTCGCTATCAAACAGCTGTTTATTTGACATTGACATTAGCCATGATGACAATTACGTCAAAAAATATTATTTCATTCTGGCAACATTTAATAATGCTTCGGCTTGAAATACGACTTTTACATCAAAAGAGCATTTTTTGGTGAAGGTTTTTCTAATCTGTTATGTCAATGTCATTGTCACTTTTTGACAACTTGATTGATTGATTTCATTTCATTTGTTGTTTGTTCATCGTTTTTAGACTAAAATTTACTCGCTATTCCTTTAAAATGTCGACTCCACCTCGAGAAACTATTCAAAAGCAGATCCAGCAGGACTGGGCAAATAGAGAGTACATTGAAGTAATCACAGGAAGCATCAAAAAGATCACTGACTTCCTAAATTCTTTCGGTGAGTGAAAGTTGTGAGTAACAGGATTTCCAGTGAAAATTTCGGCCTAAGTGGATTCATAATCTGTTTAACTGTTCTAGATATGTCTTGCCGATCACGTCTCGCCACTTTAAACGAGAAATTAACATCACTGGAGAGGAAAATTGATTACTTGGAGGCATGCGTAAGTTACAATTTTGCTCTTATCTTAAATGAGCATAATGAGTCCTATCACTGTATTTCTTTTTAATATAAGACTGTTCTGCTACGTTCTGCATTCCATAAAAAAAGTTATAGAAATATGATTCTGTTCAAATAAATTTAATTAATTTTTTTGGCTTCATTTCAGGTCACCAAAGGGGAAACCCTCACATAAGGAGGTAACAGAATTTGACCATCATAGATTTTTTTATTCCTTTACAAATTATATGATAGATTATGATTGTGATGTCTATGTAATAAATGTATGTAAGGCTGTACGTTGGGCCCTGTGTAAGATCAAGCAAAAAGTCTTTCAAATTGCACAAGTTATCGCCAAAAGCTAATGCATTGCTTCATTTGTCCTGAATTATGAAATCCATTATACTTTATTGTAAGGCATTTATATTAGTGTAATCATAATATTATTTAAGTTACAATAAATTATACAACAAAGCTTATTGTTTTTTATGAATATATTATAGTATATTATTTATATTAGTTATACAAAAATATCACTACACTCAACAATTAAACTTGAGCATACATTTATATTCTTATTATTACGTTTATTCTTTTCAACCAAGATTATCAAAGAAATCCATAAGCAATTTTGTCCAAAAGATAACTCGATTAAAGTAACCAGTGGACTGAGGTAGTTTGATAAGTTACAATTCTTTGGTAATGTATTTACCCACACTTTTCAGATTGTTTTTCAAATAATACTGAAATATTATTTATCAAGATCATAATGCTTCAAACAGCACTGCAATGCCTTGTCCACCACCACAACTTGATGCAACGATTCCTTTCTTTAAGTTGCGCCTCCTGAAAGTCATATTAATCCATACTTGTAATGACATATTATTTAAAGTTGCATAATTGCACACATATTACAACTACATAAATGCAAACATTACAGTACTACCCAACATTGATGAAATAAAACGCGGCCGTAACGGTGTATTACACTTTAAAAAAATTCGATGGGTTTATCCAGTGTCTAAGTAGCTCACTTAACAAGCGAAAAGTGGGTTCGATTCCCGCCTTAGGCAGTACGATTTTTTCAAGTTGTTTATTTAAAACGACATCTACCTTATATCATGGTTTCTCAGCTAGCGATAATTAATCCTGAAACCATGTTGCTATAGATTCAAAATATTACTTTGTTTACAATATATGTATATAGCAAAAGCTGTTCACCTCAACTCGTGCACTAGATGTACGACCATCCTCGCCGCGGTGGCTCCCACTGGATTGCCTAAAGCTACGGCGCCGCCGCTTACATTGATCTTCGCGGGGTCTATGTGAAGCACCATGGCACTGGCCAGCACTTGCGAGGCGAAAGTCTCGTTTATCTGAAAAAAAAGTGATCAAAACATTTTTTAGATGTCTAAAGATGTACCATACATCTTCTTAGAAAACATACTGATTACCTACCTCCGTCGTTACAAAGCTCACGAAAGAAGGAGGCTTAATAAATCGCATAAAACAAGCAAACATCACAGTTGACCTGACAAACTTGACCTTCATTGGTTGGGTTTTTTATGGCGGTCAAGCTGTAGATCCTGGCTACACAGGAGTTGCAGCGGTGGGAACGAGAGGTGGAAATAGTCCCGTTTAAGCATCACAGGCGAGGATCCAGCCCTCAATAAAAGCACTCACTTAACAGCCACTCAAAAATGGGCGTGCTCATATTCATTACAATGGTAGATTTGCGCGTGAAGCATCATGCATGTTATGATAAATAGTCATTAGATGATCCACATGAGCGGAACTTTGTTTCCAAATCATTCATACCAACCTCGAACAAGTCAATATTATTCACAGTAAGTCCAGCCACTGACAATAACTTTTCCACAGCTGGTACGGCGCCTAGTCCCGGCTCCAAAGGATCAGACCCTACGCAAGCCCAGCCAGCCACTCTAGCGAGGGGTTTGACCTGGTTCTGTTCCACAGTACCCTCGTCTGCTATGAGAACTGCTGCTGCGCCGTCAGCTGGACCCTAGAATGTTTAAACTGGTAACAGTTTTCTTCTTAGAAAAGAGGATAGGGATATTGGTCTGATCTGAAGAGTCCTAAGACCTTTATTTATTAATCTAAGGCTAAGAACTACTATTGCCCAAATAAGTAAGAGATTTAGAACAACTTACGCTAGAATTCCCCGTAGTGATAACAGAAGCGTCGTCATTAATGGAGGGCAGCTGAGACAGTCCTTCTAAACTTATTTTCTGTTGAGGCAGTTCATCTTTATCAACCACGACTTCCTTTTTCTTTAAAGTTACGTTTACGCTGGTCAACTCGTTGTCAAATAACTTGGATTCTTGAGCTGGAAACATAATGGGTTATTATTTTTATCTAACTCAAAAACCGATCGTAGTAAGTACCAACAAAAGCGGGAACAGCCTGGATGCGGGCAGGACCGTTCATTGTGGAAAACCTTGGGGGAGGCCTTTGTGGACGTCATTTGGCTGAGACGAACGAACGAACCAACAAAAGCTTGGTAACTAGATATACCTATGTCTTTCAAGAGGAATCGTCAAGGGTTGTATCACCTGCCTTCCATTTCAAGTGGCTGCTCAAAGCGAACTCGTCGACCTCCTGTCTCTTGATGCCATACTTCCTCGCCAAGTCCTCGGCCATCCTCTGCAGCGTCAGCCCACTATGCGAGTCGAGGAACTGCTTCTGTATGTGGTCTTCGAAGGTGTAATTGCTGCCGAGGCTCGAGCCAAAGCGAACGTTCTTCACTAGAAAAGGAAGGGCCGACATGATTTCTGTGCCTCCTGTGAGTGACACGCGCGCCATGCCTGTTAGGATATCCTGAAAACAGTATCAATCATTTATTTTACTGGGTAAGTTGTAAGCTTAATCATGGTAGGTACGATACCTACCTGTGCACCAGTAATGACAGCCTGGAGCCCCGACCCGCAGGCTTTGTTGACTGCCAAAGCTGGTCGGTCTATGGGGACATCTGAATATAGGCCGCAATACCTCGCAGTCTTCCCGCCGTCACATTGACTTAGCTGAAAACAAGTTATGTCATAATTGGTCCTTCGAGCCGGATCTTACAGGTTGAAATCTGATCAAATATTGGTCCACGTTATTACTTACGTAATGGGCATTTCCTATGACTGTATTATCGATGAAAGTGGGATCCAGCTTCGACATTTGAATGGCATCTTTCGCCGTGGCCGCAAAAGCCAGCCCGGCCGGAGTATCTCTGAGGGGCCCGCCAAAACTGCAAAAAGGGGTCCTTTTCGCGCCGATCACAAATATTCCTGAAACATAGACATAGGTATGATGATTACAATATCAAAGTAGGTCATTCTGAATGCTATTCAGATATTCCTTTCTGAAGCAAGATTAATTTTATTATTAATTTATTGTTTAAAGAAATCATATCGCCACAGTTTTTAATAAACTGTTCAGTTAGACAATATAAACTAATTACTTATTTTTTTTTTTTTGTAGTTATCTCCTACTTATCTAATGACAAATCTCTGACCAAAACAAACAAGAGAAGAGCGAATAACCTTAAAAAGCAGGTTAAGTACTTAAATTAATACCTTTACAATAGATAAGTAAGTAGGTAAAATTTAATACGGCTTATAACAGGTTAATAAACTTAAAAATGAAGATAAGAAATTAAATAAACCCATAAAAGTATTACTGACCTTTTGTGGTTAGCGCCATGTTGAAAGTCCTCGATGACGTCAGCGCGCTCTTATTTTGTTTAAAATGAAAAACAAACGCGCAGCTGCCGTTTCGGCTATCTCCAAATGCTGAGTTGTTACGGTTGTTAACTTGTTACATCATCGCAATGCCGCTTTGACTTTTATCATTGTGTTGATATTGCGATAAATACGACGTTTACGAAATACTTAAGCGAGTGTACCTACCTGCTTTGTATTATTTACATAATGCGTGAAATGGCGCTATTCAATGTATAACTAAACTAACCGGTAAATGTATTTATCTAGTCTACCTACGAGAGAAATATTCTCGAGAGCTGATCGTTACCTCAATTAAGCATTTTAAGACTCATAATAGGAGAAGGGATTAAAAAGGGAATAAAGAATTTCAATTAAGTTTACACGAACTAAGTATTAACATCATTAGTTAGGAAAAGGGTTAGACCAAGTGTGCTGCCTTGCGGTACACCACATGTAACCGGGAAAATTTGATATGATTACTGTATAACAGAAGTTTTGTTACAACTACGATGTCGAATGCTTTTTTAAGACTTATGCATAAGGAAATGCTATATCTCTTTCTTCTAGACCCTAGAGCTTTTCCTTCAATCGCATTAGTTAATAAAAATAAGACAAAGAAATGTCTTATTTTGGGAGTAGCCTCCAGGAGTCGGGTTTTTTATTATATGACAAACAGGAATAAATAAAACGTATGTGTCGGTACTTAGTTATAAAAATAAATCTTTACTTTTATACATATTTTTACAATAACAATCAGTCAACAATAATACAAAATAACAACATTTTCTTAATATTTAATCTGCTTTTAAGTGTTCCCGTGGCTCAGCAACGAAATTATTGACTTAGATAATAGGTAGGTTAGTCTTTATGTCTGCGACTGCTCCATGATTCGTATCTTTAGACAGACTCCACCAGGAGAGCGATGCCCTGTCCGCCGCCGATGCACGCAGACCCGATAGCTCGTTTCAAGCCACGCCGTCTGTAAAAAATAAGGTTTCAGTTTTTTCCCATCGAACATTGAACAATATTCTCAGTCAACAAGACCCCGATCTTGGGATGATATGTAGGTACTATCCTACTATTTACCAACTGTCAAACCACACAGTAATGCAATGTGATTTGAATTTGGGATGCACCAGCCTATGTTAAGCTTCAGCCAAACCAACGCGTGTAGATCACGTTGGCGATGGCGATCACTGCGCGTGCATAGGCCAATGATAGGACGCGCATCCAGAAGCTTTAAGTATACTTAATATATGGCTTACTCTGAGGGAAAACCTTTACAATTATTCTGAGGGAAACCCTTGTTCTTTGCTTACTTACCATTAATAATATAACAGAACAGGCCATACTTAAGGCATTAATGAAGCTTTATTTACCTGAGCTCATGAGTCAGATGCGCAATGATTCTGGCGCCTGATGCGCCGACCGGGTGCCCCATAGCGATGGCGCCTCCGTTGACGTTCAGCTTGCTCTGGTCCAAGTTGAGCTCCTTGACGCACGCCAGTGTCTGGGCCGCGAAGGCCTCGTTTATCTGGATAATAAAAATTCATTAAAGTAATTTCAGTGTTTGATGATTGTCATCAAACACTGAAATTACTAAATGGCAATGGTCCTAAAAGTGAAATCAGTCAGCACAGGGTAGAAAGTAGTTAAAACTTAGTTACCTTCTGAGTTGTAAATGGAGAAGTAATAATTAGTAAACAGCTAGACAGTTTCATTTATTTGTTAAGATTCCTTTACTGATACTATTACGGAGTGGACTCTATAGAGACTTGGTATGAAGATTTGGAGCTGATGAAAACCAGGAGCGTAGATCAGAACAACAACTAACTTGAAAAACTAATAATAAACATACAAGTAAAAAGTAACCAGGAAGGTGCTGGACGCAGGTTGCTACTAATCGATTGGGGGAGGCTTATGTTCAGCAGTGGACGTCCTATGACTGAAATGATGTTGATGAAGTAAAAAGCCTATCTTCCTAACTTAATAAATCTAGGGAGGTAGCTCTGCTGGCCATTTTACAACATTATCAAGACTCCTCAGAGCCTTCTTTTTGACACTCACCTCGATCAAGTCAATGTCGTTCAGCGTCAAGTTGGTGACCTTGAGCAGGTTCTGGATGGCGGGCACGGGCCCGATGCCCATGATGCTGGGGTCCACGCCTACGTACGACCAGCCCAGCAGACGAGCTAGTGGCTTCAAGTTGTTCTTCGTCAGTGCCTCCTCGCCTGCTAAGATTAACGCTCCAGCACCGTCGTTTATACCCTGGAAGAATGCTTGAATAGATGTCGGGAAAGATGTAAGAAAAATGTATAGGTACCTATGTATAGATCGTTTCATCCACGAAGACGCGCCCCACTAATTTTTGATCGAGGGAAGCGCGGGGTGCGGGGAGTTTGATCCGAGCAATCCGAGCGGCATTATTGTAGTGTGTGTGCACTCATGAATAATTTAGCGTGTACCGATAACACTCAAACATTAGCGGAAGAATGGTCGGGTGCGTTTTCGTGGATGAAACGATCTATACCATAATGTAAATCTGAGTACTAAGCACTTGATCTGATGAACGTCACGGGAACCACCTGGATGTAGACAAGACCGGTCGTTGAGGAAATCCTTAGAGGCCTTGTCCAACACCATTTGGCTGAAAAAAACAAACAAAGCAGTACGCAGTAGCTACAATTATTATTTAGACTTGCAGAGAAAGAAGCAAATTCTGGAAGTTATTTCTAATATCAAAATCAAAAATTTATTCAGTAGGGTAATTCAAGTGNACAGACGATTTCTACTCTCGACAAATGCATTTGAATTAGCCCACAGTTTAGACCACAAGTGGCACTTATGAACGTCAATAGAAAATAATAAAAAAAGAAAAGGTAGCCCTTATGAATAGACAGGATGACAAAGTAACTTACAGAGGAATTGCCAGCGGTAACCACTCCTCCTTTCCTGAACAGAACAGGCAGCTTGCACAGCCCCTCGATGGTGGTCTCGGGCCGAGGGTGTTCGTCCTTGTCCACCACCACCTCTTGTCTCTTCACCTTCACCGTTATGGGGGCGGTTTCCTCCTTGAATGCGCCCGCGTCGTACGCTGGAATGTTTTAGAGAAGTAAAGAATTGAAACAAGGAAGAGCATGGAGAAGATTTCGGAAATTACTATGATGGCTAAAAAATTACAAAGTAACAAAACAAATGCGTAACATCGGTACCAAGTAGGAAGACAGCAAAAAGCTGATTGGTTCAAGTGACATTTTGTGCCGTAGTGGTTATTTTAGTCGTGAATTGTATGAGCCATAATTTTTTTATTACCTTAACATTTACGAATGGGTATAATATCAAAGGAAACTGAATTCTCAATGTTGTAAATTCCAACTCACGAGTTGTTCCGTAACTATGTCCCGATTCAAATAGAAATCAATTGATAGGTAAGGTAGGTATAATAAAACGAGAGAAATGTAACTGCAATTTAGATTTATTTAGCGAGTTAAGATCTATTTTCTGTCATAACTGTTTTAATCCAAGTTAAATAAGGGCTGACCGGAGTATAGATGCCTTCTGGTTCGCTTTCCCCTCCACTGACTACTGCCACAATCTTTTCGTCGTGAAACAATGGGCCACCGGAGTCGCCAGGCATCGTGTCGTGCCGCGCGTTCGAACATTTGGGCGCCACGCACACAGCTGGCCTCCACTCCAACAAGTTGTGACCACACGAAACCACCACCCCTTCACCTAACTGCAACGGCCTAAACTCATCGTCCAACCGATTATCATAATCTGAAGAAGAAACTGTTGCACCAAAGCCAGCGTATCTCACTTTGCGACCAACCAACGTTTTGTAGTCCACTGCCGATAATATCCCCACCGACGGCATATGCAAACTCTCGATCAATATCAAAGCAATATCATTTTGACAGGAATAATCTGGAAAATTCTCAACTTGCTTGAAACTTGGATGGGATATCATCTTCAAGATTTTCCTTAGAGACGTGGCACTCGGTGGGATAGTCATGTTGCCGAATCGTACGAAGGACAGGTATGGGTCAAGACAGTGTGCTGCGGTGAGGACCCAGTTGGGACCTATGAGGGTTCCCGTGCATCCTCGCAACAACGTGGATATGTATTGTTCCTGGTCTTCGTCGTTGCGTCCAAAGTACGCTGACTGTAGACTGACCACGTAGGGGAATTCGTTGAGGACATCGTCTTGCCCGTCCCGCACGCGCGGTGTCGGCCAGTTCCGGGTACCGACAGCGCTCACGAGCAGAAGCAAAACATCGATACTTATCGTCTGCATTCCTAGGCACTTAATTTAATTTTCAATAGAAAGACTTCAGTTTTTTCTGTTTTTAATAAATGTTTTAGCGATAAAAGTGGTATTTTTATCAAACTGCTTGAGCAAAATAATAAAACACTGCGAAAAAATTACGTCGGTGTTTCCAATGTTTACTTTTATTACACAAAATAAAATAAACTAGGTTTATGACTGTGCCTAGCTGAAGTGCGTGTGGGGAAACACCTGCGTAACAAAACTTCAACGACAACAAATCGCTAAGTTGCGATATCTCCGATCGTATTGTTTAGGCCCGCTTTGCAAAGCGGTCTTCCGTGAAAGGCAGACCTACTCTGCCATAAAAGCGTCATTGAACAGTTAAGTAGATAATACATATTATATTAGTAGCTTATAACAACAAAGCAAAAATTCTTACCAGCTTTCCACCTCCTCTGGGACTCGAGCGCGAATTCATCGACTTCGCTTCGCTTCAGCTGGTATTTCTCTGCCAAGTTCTCCGCCGTCTGTGGCATGGTGAAGTTGCAGTACGTGTCCAGAGACCCGCCAGTGAGGGTATCTTCGAAGTGCAGTGGTGTTCCCAGCGCCGACCCAAAACGGGTGTTGCGGACTACAAACGGCATAGCTGACATGTTCTCAGTTCCTCCAGCGAGAGAAACTTGCGCTGCGCCTGTTATGATGTCCTGGAAATTTGAGTTATGGTACATCTTCTGTATCTGAATATCCACCTAACTTCTCTGCCAATGAGCAGTAGCTACAAGTTACAACTCACAAAATTTGGCGCCCTAGAAAAGTGACACATTTGATCGCTCGAAGTCAAATCCCTCGAAGAAAATCCACACACAAAAATATCGCATAAAAATATATAAAGTGTTCGAAATTGCAACTGTCTCGTTTTGCCACTTGTACCTATAGGGGAGCTGGTATATAACTTTAGACTTTGAACTTCTTCTTTTGTTTATGGCCAGGTCTGGACTAAAATATAGCATGAGAGAATACCTGAGCACTGTTGACGATGGCCTGGAATCCGGAACCGCAGAGACGGTTGACTCCGAGAGCCGGCGTCTCCTGAGGAACGCCTGACTTGAGGGCCGCGTGCCGAGGTGACAAGCCTCCATCTGAACTTCCGCTGATCTGGAAGGAACAACCATAATAAGCATAATAATTATCAGTTTAGGGTAGGTGTACAAGTACAACTGTGTAACGTCCACTGGCTTTAGACAAAATGATCTGGCACAAGAAGTTGATTACTTAGTAGTAGACCCATATCCTAACGTGCCAGAAGAATAGAGTAGTTTTGTTATCTAGAGCAACCGCTATCCGATGAGTTAGACCTGCCAGCCACGGATCTATGACTGCACAGTTTTATTGTGGCGCCCCTACCCAGCTTTCAAGATGCCTAATACAGAGCTCATTATCGCCAATCGATTGTTGTTGTTGTGGACATAGAAAATAGATGCTAGCAAACGCTCTATTAACGAGACTTCCCACCGCTGCAACTCCTGTGTTGCCAGAATCTACAGCTAGACTGCCACTAAAAGCACTCCATTACTTAGTCAAATGTCATGCCCTGAGTGCCCAAGCAACTGCACTCAGGAGGATTTGATGAGTGCTACTGACCACTCTTGTGGCGGAGTTTTGGGCTGACACTGTAGGTTTGTTGTCGACACGAAAAGAAGAAGAAGAAGAGTCAAAATCCCCTAATACCGGTAACAAGAAGAAAACACTCACCGAATTCACCTGGCCTATGTTAACAGAGTCGATAGCGCTCGGCGCAACGCCAGAAGCCTTGATGGCGTCCTTGGCCGCTACAGCAACCAGGTCTGACGGATGGATGTCTTTGAACGCGCCGCCCAGCCGCCCGAATGGAGTGCGCTTGGCTGCTACGATGAACACGCCTGGAAATTGGAAAAAAGGGATTAAAACTCGGTTGAGTTAACGGCGCAACTAGCGGCCGTGACGTCACATCGACCCTCTGGTGCGTGGCGAACGCATTCTAGTGTGGTGCGTAGTTAGCTCAATCGGGTTTATCTTATGTTCGGGTTTATCCGTTCTATCCACTCATGTATCCAACTTTATTTGTACTCGGGATGGTGGGGTACAACAAACTAGAAGTTAGACTGGAACTAAGCCTGGCTACGTATATGTTCAAATTAGTACGGGGGCGGGTATGCAACCAGGTCGTACTGCAGTCGATGACGCTTTGTGTGCCGGACCGGTACGTATGGCGGCGCCGGCAGCCTCCTCTATTCGCAATTCCGAATGCAAGAACCAATATGCTAAAAGAGGCGCCAATTACCAGAACGTTACGTATCTACACTTAATGTAGTAGCTAGAACCGTTGACATATTCAGCTGTTCTTTGACTGAATTCACAAAGGTTACATTATTTATTTTATGTTATAGCCATAGCGGCAATCTTAATTGTTAAATGTACTAATTAATCTACTCTATCGCATTGGTGTAACCTGTAATGTTAGAGCTAAGATTGTTATTAAATAAATAAATAAAATAAATGTTTTGGTGGGAGCTTTTATATAGGCTGAGAATTAAATTACCTACTTAGCCTACTAAGGTAGTTACTACTTTTTCATCCATCATGAAAGCTGAGTAACTAAGTTATTATATAGTTTAGTTTATAGTGGTTATAAGTAGGTATTATAGTTTTGGGAAAGATAACCGCGCAACAAAAACGGCTATAATAGTTTTGTTACATGGATTTCTGTATCTGTAAGATTATCAGCGTATCAACAGATAACTAGTTGCCTACTCGTATTTACAACACCATCACGAATTTAAATTCAAGGGGAAGTTAAGCCTATATAAAATGTTTATCTAACTAATTCTTTGATGTAAAAAATAGAGTAGAAATCGTTATTACCTACAAAATGGTTTAACACCAAGCCTAGAACTAATATGTGTGGTAGGTAAGTAGGTACTAAAGTTAAGTTAGCCTCGCGAGACTCCTAGTTTACGGATCTACTATCCAGCTCCAGGATCGATAGGAGACATAAAAACTGCTTTACTTAGTTGAAGAATGGCAGAAAATCCCATAGCATTTGATCAGGAAATTCATTCGGAACTGCCTAGCTCGCATCAATATTTCACCTACAATCTTTACAATATTATAAAAATTTAACTTTTGTAAACCCTTGACAGCCTGACTACTTAGTTTAACGATTTATTGGCTAATAAAACAAAAACTTAACAAAATAAGTAAAGATAATGTACAATAAGTAGTTAAAAGTCACCTAACTACTTCGGCCTGGACCTTGAACCACTTAGCAGCACATTGACCTCAATATTATGTTGGTAAACTTACAACTTCTTTTAGGTTATTAGTTAAAGGAATTACAAACAAATACAAGCTCATATGTTTTAAGCACAAAATATATGGCTAACATTCCTAAAGATTGTAAAATACCTACAGATCTGCGGGTCGAAGTCCAATGTTTTTGTAAAACATGAGTAAAATCACACAATAACAAGTCAGTAAGAATCAAAACAAAATAGTCCGTCCTTCGTAAAAGTCGCTTAAGTTTTTGAGATTAATAAAAATTAAGCAAATAAAACACTAACCTTTCTTAATAGCGACAGACATTTTCGAAAGCGAGAATATTCAACAAAAACAAGATAAAAATATTTATTCAGTTTAGACCACAAGTGGCACTTATGAACGTCAATAGAAAATAATAAAAAAAAGAAAAGGTAGCCCTTATGGGGCACTTTACATGTCTCCTTATCTTTTGGGCCCTACCAGCGCTTCGAGACAAACATATGGCAAGTGCTGAGAAGAAACGCCGGAACAAACTCAGTCACCACTTATTGCCAGGAATTATCTAACGGTNGCTTGCGCACGACACACTCCACCGGATCGCGGTGTTGTTGTGATACTATCTGTATTTAATAGGTAATGACAGGCTACGGACGAAAATTACGCTATCAGACGGCCAATTTAGCATTCGCATTCATACTGAAAGGTCTAATGTCTTTTGCTGCTTTTAATCACATATGAACAAGGTAACCTAGGTGACCAAAGTGGACTTCTTATCCATGGGTGATCAAATGATACCAGTGTCGCCTGGAATCCAGTGATCATCTGGGTGATCAAAGTGAACTAGGTAATAGTGGAATAGACCTACTGAAATTGATATTTATGATCAGTAAAGTTTTTCGGGCGAGTATTCTCCAAAACACATTACTGAGAACAATCACATGAAGGGTTAAGGGAGGGACTAACTACCCAATTACCTTATAGTAAAGGCATGTTTTATTGCATTTAGGTCGACCCTTTGGGTCGGCCGTCTACCATAATGGTTTCTGTACCGGACTTCACGGATTCGATGCTTTGCATTGTTTGAAATGTAAATGCAGTCTAAAATATGTCCAAGGATAAATTTACTTCCAAATACAAATAAAATCACATTCCCGTGAGTTCCGTTTTAGTAAAGTATCGTTCGTTTCGTACATTCCACAAATAAGGGACACAAAAGTTTTGTTTGAATACAACAGTAATCGTGATTCAAATTTACTAGCAACGCCATCTCTTGGTGGTGAAAGAAATCCATAAGAGGTATTTACATTTTCCTGCTTAAAATCTATGAAACAATAAACAATTTTATTATTTAAAAAATCTTTATTGATTGGTACGCAAAGAACGCACTTAAATAATATCTAACAGTTTTGCTTTAATTGTTAAACATAATAATATTTAAAAAGGCAGGTATTTCTTAGTTCATTTACACATAATAACAAGTTATAAAATACATGTCTCAAAAAATATTTGATAACAATTTATAATATTTACATTAACAGTTTAAAACATGTTACAAAAAGATTGTTTTCAGTCTAAGACAGTTTAAAAGTTAAATAAACATTATGCAACATATTTCAAAGTTAAGGATCAATGTCCGATCATTATCATCCAGTGATAGTGTGTGATAAAAACATACATACTCGTGCCGATTGATTACACTTTCAATTACCTTAGTAATAACATTTTGACTTATTTTTTCACAGGGAAATGGTATACATAACATGTCACAGCCAAAACTTAATAACTAGTAAGTTGACTTTCATTTTTTGTAGCTGGATAACTTTTTTCGGTTTAAGTCTAACTTTGACCACTAAAAAGTTGACTGTAACATCTTTGGCTCTTCGATTGAATATGGGGTTAGTTGATGTTTAGACGGCTTCAACCATGAGTGCGATGCCCTGTCCGCCACCGATGCAGGCCGATCCGATGGCTCTCTTCAGTCCACGCCGTCTGCAATGGAAGTAAAATTTTAAACTTACTGCAGTGACTATCAAAAAAATTAAGAGTCATTAATGAAGAGGTTCTTCCTCTTAGAGTAGGCAAAGTAGATTATTATTGAGTTTTATTGGCAGCCAAGCTGTATATTCTGGCTGTTTAGAAGTTGTTGGTGGGAACGAGAGGTGTCATCAGACACAGTTATCCACCACAACTACTGGTTAGGTTCATTGGTGATCCAACAGTAGGTTCTACAGGAGATGAAGTGGTGAAAACAGTTAACTATCTTTTAGGACTAATCTTTGGGTATCACTGGCGTCTTGCAGTCGTCACGAGGTGCTATCTTTCAGCTGTAACGCGAGTCAAGACGCACAGAAGTTGCAGTGGGGGTTGTCTTAATTAGTTATCTTCTGGGACTATAATATGTACTGAAAGTTTCAATGGTGGGAACAGAGGTGGGATGGGTCTGCGGGGATACCCCGAAAACCGTTATCCGAAGATTCGAATGTTGTCATTTGTCATCCCTCTCACACTAGCATGAGCAAGGGTAACAGATCCGAAACTGCATAAACGGCGTTTTGGAGCCCTGCTGGTGACGTCACCTGAGCTCGTGCACGAGGTGCGCGGTGATCCGCGAGCCCGAGGCGCCGAGCGGGTGCCCGAGCGCGGTGGCGCCGCCGTTCACGTTCAGCTTGTTCATGTCCAGCTTCAGGGCTTTAGCGCAAGCCAGGGTCTGCGCGCAGAACGCCTCATTGATCTACACGGAGAAGAAAAAGAAAACAAAAGTTTTATAGGCTTGCTTGAAGACTTAAACCAGGGTTTCCCAACCTTTATTTCGCTGAGCCTCCAGCATATCTAGGATCAATTTCCAAGGGGGCTTGGCCCCTGATAGCTAGTTGGGAAGTCCTGACTTAAACTACGTGCCCCATAGGGTCCGTGAATGCAAACTTTAGGCCTAGTTCAGGTTCAGATTGGGCAGTTCTTGGACAATTCGCATCGAACCGTAACCGCACGCGGCCTCAGTGCCTAATTCAATGAGAACCACGGGTACATACTGCACGTGTCTGAACAAGGCTTTAATATAATAGAATGTGTAACATCAGATTGTCTGAGCAAACAAGTACACTTACTTAAATGAAGATTGGTTAATTTTAACAAATCTTCACATCCCTCCTGCTGTCACACATTGCATCCACCATTTATTCCTCACACTCGCACCTTTATTTCATACACACTTACCTCAATAAGGTCGACATCGTTGAGCGTCATATTAGTAGCCTTAAGCAGGTTCTGGATGGCGGGCACCGGGCCTACGCCCATGATGCTGGGGTCAACTCCCACGACCGACCAGCCCACCAGCCGAGCCAGCGGCTTCAGACCCTTGGCAGCTTCTTCACTGGCTAGAACAATGGCGCCCGCGCCGTCGCTGATACCCTAGGGAACATTTATTTATTTATTTAAAATCTTTAAGGCACACATAATGAGGGTTTTCGCGTATGAAAAATCCGCCAGATGGCAATACGTAGACGCGACGTCCAAATGCTGCATGATTGGTTATTTTTGACATGACATTGACAGATATCGATGGCTCCTACGTATACTGGCGTAAGTGAAAANTAGTTTATACATTAAATTTCAATCTCGCAAAAATTATATCTAACATAAATTAGATAAAACATAACAGAAATTAAATTACGAGTGACTGCAACAAAAATGTTAAGGGCGATCTACTGTCGAACGACCGACCTACCTACTTCCAAAGTCACGTAAAATATCTCATCATCATCATTTCAGCCACAGGACGTCCACTGCTGAACATAGGCCTCCCCCAATGCTTTCCATGTTGATCGATTGGCAGCGGTCTGCGGTAGGTGGACGTCCCACGCTGCGTTTTCCGGTACGCGGCCTCCATTCCAGAACCTTTCTGCCCCATCGGCCGTCAGTTCTGCGTACTATGTGCCCTGCCCATTGCCACTTCAGCTTGCTAATCGGTCGGGCTATGTCAGCGACTTTGGTTCGTTTACGGATCTCCTCATTTCTGATTCGATCTCGCAAAGAAACACCAAGCATAGCCCTCTCCATAGCACGCTGTGTAAAATATCTCACTTACAGGTAATTTGTCTTTTACATTTCCTACAGATACGATCATGCCGAAACCACATTCTGGAAAAATATACGAAAAAAAATATACTGAACAAGATCTGATAGCAGCAGTCGCAGCCATTAAAGATGGTATGCCCAAGAGAGAAGCGGCTCGTATATTTAACATCCCTAGAGCAACATTGCAGTTTAGAATAAGTAGCAACCCCATAAAAACCAAACCAGGCCCATCAACAGTACTTACGGAAACTGAAGAGAAAAAACTTGCTGATTGGATAATCACGTCCTGTAAAAAAGGCTTTCCTAGAAGAAAAGAAGATGTTCTACACAGTGTGGAGCAATTCATGATAAAAACATCAAGAGCTAGTAAATTCAAAAACAACAAACCTGGAGAAGGGTGGTAAAAACTATATTTAAGGCGATTACATGGCCGAACGACCTTGAGCATTAGAGCGAGACAACGCGCCTCTCGCCGCGCGCCCGCGCTTCTGCTCGATACCAAAGTGCGCTCAGAATACAGATGCGAAGCGCTGCCAATTCTAACATNTGAACTGGAACCATTCATAGATAGCTTAGAAAAATATATTATTCAGGCCAAAATCGGTACAGTCATACCTAGTCATACGAAAATAAATTGTAAATTATTTATATGAATATCATTTAGGTACTCGTTCTAGACATTAGAGGTCTTTACGAGTTAATCTTTAGACCAAACAGAGAATTTGATTGAATGTTGTTATTCTATAAAATACGCCTTGTTTTAAAAATAAAGAAAGACAAGGTAAGGCTTATTCATGAGCATGTACGCTTCTCTTGGGGGTAAATCAAATTTTTAAACAACCCCGCATTTTGACGTTTAGGGTCAAACATAAGTTAGTTTCTAAGCAGGAAAAAAATTGTATGGCGGATAGCACAGACAGGTACCTACTGAACAAAAACAATACCTAGAAAGGTTCTGACATTATAATACCTAATACATAAGTACATTCAGTTTATGTGTACCTACCTACATTAGAGTATTAGAGTACAGTACATTCATATCATTATCTCAGTTAGTAATGTGATAAGATCGGAAACTTTAGTGGGGGCACATAAATAATAAAAAGACTTAAGACTTGTATGTCTTAAGATTAGATACAGTTAAGAATCTAAGTAATAAAACAAAAATAAAATTGTTGTTTGGCGACTTTCAGGCAACTTCTATTCCTATCAATTTATGGCAGGATTAGATATTTCACATTATAGTTGGTGCTGAATGCTTTTATGTGCTATTTTTTCTTAGTTATGCTAGTTTAAGTAAGGCTCCCTTTACTTGCACTTCTGCCTATGTAGGTAGCAGTTACTTACTTCATGGATACCATTAAGGCGATTACATGGCCGAACGACCTTGAGCATTAGAGCGAGACAACGCGCCTCTCGCCGCGCGCCCGCGCTTCTGCTCGATACCAAAGTGCGCTCAGAATACAGATGCGAAGCGCTGCCAATTCTAACATAACTGCCTACGGGAATGTTAACTCGATTTTAATTTACGCAGATC